GCTATTCACCAGTTAATCGGTTGAAGAAATTATGTAGCAGCTTCAGGCCGGAGCGATTACGGTAAGCCTCGTTGAGCTCGACGGTGACGGCAGATGACGTCATATTCTGAAGACGGTGGGGCAGTGAAGGAGGGCCTGCTTCTGCTTATGGGGGACACCTAAGGAATATTCTGCCGTAAAACATTCATCAACAGCGGCATCCTGTGCGACGAAAATTTGATGATGTGCGCCATGGGCAAAGTGACTCTTTTTTTGCCCCCCCCCGTGTAACCTGGGTTTTTCTTCGCCTATATACATGTAACTTACAACTAAGAGGAATTTTTACGTATTTGCAGTTCTCCTTTCAAATAACCCACTGCTTGACATGTTGCTTCGTTGGTAAGTCTGTAAGTTTGCCACCCTGTTTGTCGACCTGTCACCCCACAAAACTAATATCATATCAAACAGTGTGGTAACAAGCGGATAAACCAATCACTGTCATACAGTGGACTCCCCGTCTGGGTAGGCGTGTCTACGTGTCGCCCACCGCACTCGATAGAAGTCGTGTGGAGAAGCTGTTTCCAAAATACCTCGTTGGAATCACCAAAAAACGCTGCAAACAGTTCATCTACGCGACTTCTATCATCTGCTACGGCAGCCACGTCAAATCCATAGGCACGGCGACTCAGACGGCGAGATATGCCCTATAAGTTAGAGAACCCACAGGTCCTGCGGTGGCAATGTTTTGCGATTTTGTGGTTGCGATCACCCTCAAGCTGCTATAGGACGCTTATTAAAGGCAATATCCCGGACAGTATGAATCCCCTGTCAAATATGAAGTCATGGGTAACAAGCGAAATTGAAGTAGAAAGGAGGGAGTGCCTCAAAACAAGTCCAACTTTCGCTTTGTTAGTTTCCTATAATACAATTCAGAGCTGGAAGAATTAAGTGTCTGAACGTGTTGACAGCAACTGCTGGGCTCATGCCAACAACCGACACGGCCATAAAAACTCAGGAATGAAAATTGATTGTTTTTAATTTTACTACTTTCTGTTTATGTGGGCTTTGTTTATTTCTGATAACACAGATGTTGATGTTGTTTTTCGTAGTTGAAGATCTGCCAAATATTTTCTACGACCTTCCAAACAACAGCTTAACATCTAGTGTTCCAGGTGGTTGTTTGGAAGGTCACGTGGAACGGTGGGCGGGCTCAATGGGGTTGGGGCGGCGCCAATGCTCCAACCTAGGCTCCTAGCGCCTAAACCTTGTCAAATCGCCCCGCCACTTCTGCACATGGTCTGCCCTTGCGTACTGCTGCATATTTGACGGGAAAAAGCCAAATTTCGCCAGAAATCCCGAACTTTGCCTTAAGGGGCACACATAATCACTTCATACATGGGTGTGAGCAAGCGATAAG